TAAATCTGGAGCTAAATCTTGTGTTCTTTGATTCTCAGTGATCATCAGTGTAGAAATTCCCTCTACCCAACAAAGATAAACAACTCAGCTATAACTCACAGACTTGGAGAGTTGCCTGGGAAGTTAAATGACTTACTCATCCAGGTACATGTGGCAGCATTTGAACCCACATCTTTCTTCTTAACTTCAATGTTGGCCTTTTTACAATATACCAGTTGTCAAAAAGGGAAATGAGGTTGAGCCCGTATTTCTTATTCCTTGATGAAAACTACCTCTTAGTGATCTCCACATGCTGTACTTTCTCAACCAGTAAACTATGGGAGTATCAAAGGACTAACAATATTCAAACCCTCCAGCCTGTCAGAACCCAGGTCTTTCTAAATAAAAGTCCAACATATTGTAAAAGTGCTTTGAAATTGCTATGAAGCATAAAACATGAGGGATGGTGACAACGATGATTAGCAACACAAAATAATTTTTAAAGAGCTTTAAATTCTGATCTTTGCCTTGTCCCAGTATGGGTATGTACTCATGTATGTGTACGTGTACATGAGCTTAGATGGACATACATGAACTGTGCTTGAAAGAAAAAGTATAAAACAGCCCTGAAATGCTGATAATCCTGAGGAAGAGCTGAGCAATTGGATTACTATGGTAACAACCATAGACTGGCCATCTCAAAAAGCTTGCATCCACAAACACATCTTAGTCCTGTTTTCATTTAAATTTTTTTTTATTTATAGCAACATTGAACTTCTTCCACTTTTAAAAAAAATGCACATTAATGCATATAAATTATTGGGGAATTTCACATGAAGGTTAATAACAAGTCATCAAACCTTAACATTAGAGAGATTTATAAAGGTTTTCTCCCTAATGTCAGTTACATTTTGGCAAAAAAAAAAAAAAAACCCAAAACTGCCCATGTGGACCAAGGAAAGATTTTAGGCAACAAAACTCCACAATACTGTAACAAAAGCTCACATCTCCACTAAGAATCTACCTCCCCCATCTTGTAAAAATATTGTCCTATTCAGATAAGCTCCCACTGCAAGTCACAGCCCAGGAACAATTTCTGGGAATCAGAAAGAGAAGATTTCTGATTCCTCTACCATTCGAATATTTGATAAAATCTTATCTCAACAAACTGATCCAGAATAAAATACCTGAACTGTCAGAGGCACCAAACACATGATACATCCTGCATAAGGGAGACATTAGCACAATTAAAATGTTTAAATGCCACAGGGATGCTTACAGTCTGATGACAGTTTTGTTTATCAGCAGTTCTACCACCCTAACCTATCTGAAAGCTACAAATACACTGAGCAGCTCAGATAGAAGGCACAGAGGCACCATGAAGCCATAGAACAAGGTATACAATGATCAATTAATTACACGTTTGAGAAAAAATGAAATTCTAACCGTCATTTTTCCCCACTTAAAAAAAATCTTTCCCATTATAAAGATGATAAAAATGATACTTTAATTTTGAAAGTTTGATTCTACAGAAGTAAAGGTAGGATATAGATACTTAACATATAAAAATAAATATAAGGGGAATGGGGAAAGGATAAAGTTAGGCATAAGTGACCAGGAAGTTTCTAGAGTAACTTCTTACCTACCAGTAGATAAAATTGGATGAACTGCTTACTAGGAGCTATGAACAAGAATGATCTATAGCTAGCTACCCAATATGGGAGTATTTTGTTTTGTTTTGTTTTGCTTTGTTTTATAAGATAGAAAATGTGAATGTTTCTTCAATACTTTATTAAAAATTTACAATTAGACTAATTTTTTTTCACTGTCTTTACTAGATGTTGGGCTGAATTGACCAGACCGCTAGCTATTGAATTTAAGCTAATAATCATGAAGCACTGCGGTAATTAGCTGAATTCTTCAACTTCTATTTCACTTATTGTCTGTCCCTGCAATAGATCTGTTTTGTCAACTTCTAGATTTTTTATTTAAGTTCCAGTGCCTTGAATTAAATATAAATAAGATCATGATCAAAATCAAAAAAAAAATAATTTTTGGAAATACAATTCTCCAGAAAAATGATTTTTTAAAGAATCTGTTCATTTCATAGGATCACAGATTTTGAGAATTGAAGGGACTTTATACGTCATTTGATTTAATGTAGATTTTTCTACATTATTTAATTGATTTGATGTAGCCATTTCGGACACATTACCAAATTTCTGCTTGAACACTCCCAGTGACAGAGGCACTATTATAAGATAGCCCATTCTATTTGTGAACATCTCTAATTGTCATAATTTGTTGTCATATTAGACAAAAATCTGCCTCATGTATTCCCTCATTACTGGTCCTAGCTCCATAAATTCTCCTAATTCCTATGTCTCCTGGTTTATTCAAAAATATAGGGCTTGTTTGTTTGTTTTTCAGCCAGTGAAGAAAACACGACTGTAAATATAGATAGATGTTATGGACTTTGAGTCAGAAGACACCTTTGGGATCATTCAGTCGAACACTTTCCACACTCCTTCCCCCATTTTATAGATGAGAAAAATAGGGCCCAGAGATTAAGCAATTTGTCCAAGGTTAATCCCAAGTCCTCTGGCTCCAAACCTAGCTCCCTTTCCACTGCACCATGCTGCTTTGACTTAGTTGCCTGTTGGAATGAATCATTTTCTAGAACTGGAAGCAAGGCAAGCCATCTCTTTCCTAACATATTTACTTAAATAATTTCTCTCCTTTTTGGACAGACACTTTATCAATAACATGGGAGAGAGGACGATGTAATAACACTGCTCTGATGGAAGTGAAGCTTGGTGGTATTAACTCTATATCCAATATTTATTTAATAGAGAATTGATGAAGAAACACCTATCATTAGCAATCTTGTCTTTTGACCACCGGCAGCACAGGAGAGAGAAATACTCCCAGGCTCTGTAATCAGATTACCTACATCCAAACTCTGCCTCTAATGACTACTATTTGTGTTAACTTGAGCATAGAAAGTCATAGAATTTCCTCAGTTTCCTCAATTATAAGATGGTGAGGTTGGATTAGATGGCCTCATAAGACCATTGCAGTACCAACTGTCTACTCCTTTATTCTAAAAATGAAGTTGAAAATAAAAGCAGACCTAATGTTTCCTTGAACTAGTGCCAAAATAATGAAAAGGGTATTTTCTCTCCAGATGTTGTTGGATGAATGATTATCAAGTTTCTGCTTGAACACTTTCAGTGATACAGAGCTCATAAGGCAGGCCATTCTGTTTGTAAACATCTCTATTTGTCATAAAAATTGTCATGTTAAACCAAAATCTACCTCATACAGTTCCTCATTATTGATCCTAGTTCTACAGATTCTCCTAATTCTTGTACCTCCTGATTCATAATATTAACTATACTTGACTAAGTCAAGTCAACAAGCATTAATAAGTACCCACTATGTGCCAGGCACTATGCTAAGGGCTGGATGTAACCCAAGGCATTGAATAATGCTATACTCTCTTACTGCATAACAGTGTGATAATAGCAGCTTGCCTCAAACTAACATACATCAAAGATTCTTGGAGAACTTCTCAAAATTATTTTCTTTTGAAACATAAAATCATTTTCAGGTATTCCCCCAGACAAAAAGAAATATCAAACCAAGGGATATTTTCCTGACTTCAGGAAAATGTTTTGTTGCTGCTGCCAATGACAGCTTTGCAGATGGGAGTGGAGTGGGGAAGAATAGACATTATGGGAAAATACTACTATATATTAAGACAAGGGTACAAAATGGAGAAGGGAAAAGTCTGACAAATTGAGAAAGACAAGTGCAATATTCTTCTACATTAGAAAAAAATTTATGTAATCAGAAATTAAAAAGAATGCATTTCATAGTTGTCCAACTATTTAGCATTCTTGATGGTATTAACCAGTGTGATGCCTAGCACAGTATCCTGTACATAGCAGCCACTTAGTAAATGTTTGTCGAACTGAATTGAAGCAGTACATTAATATTCGATTAATAAACTGTTTACATACTTTTAGCAGTAAGAATGGGAGATATTTTCTTAAACTCTACTTAACTATGTTGAAGATAGGGTTTTTCTCCCACATTTCAAAATAGGCACCTCACAGAATTTTATATGTATGTGTATATATACATATATACACATATATACATATGTATATGTGTGTGTATATATGTATATATATGTATATATATACATATATATATACATATATATATGTATATATATATGTATATATATACTTTTAAAAACTATTTCGGTGCAATCTATTAAAACAGTTTTCACATAAAACTATATACCACCGCAGTGTTGGCAGAATGTTAGAAAAGTTAAATTCTCCTTGAAATTGACAAGAAAAGTCCAATTGTTTCTTTGGTTGCAGGCTTGCCACTCTTATTAATATTTAAAATAGCAGAATGTGTCCAAAATATTAGCACTATAAACTTCACATGGCTTCCCTAGTTTGTGTCCATTTGTGTCATACTCTTACATTTAAAAAAAAGTTCAATTTTGCTATAGAAACTTTCTGAAAAGCTGTAAAGTGCATATTGCCTATCTACTAAGAGGGGAGAAATATTCTTTGGGGGATAAAAACACATGTAGGAAATTTTTCAATTTACCGCTGTCATGGCAGAAGACTTGGATGAGAAAATAGGATATATTTTCAAGAAGTAATAAATGGGCAATTCCATCTTTCATTTGCACCAGTGTAATTTGTTCCTGACTCTAAAACTCACAAAGAGAATAAGAAATAGTCTATATTAAATTGGAAAAGCTATTGCCTTTTCCAACTTTGCATTACAGGAGATTTCTTGTGCATATTAAGAGGACTCAAATCTAAATTGCCTGAAGAAGTTTCATTTCACCTAACCTGTCACCTATCCTGGGAAGCTCCAAGCTCATCCAATTCCTAAAACTCCTTTGAGACACTGTCCTCATCTTTATAGCCCATTAAAATACTGATATTTGAATAATGATTATAAAAATGGTGTGGTCTTCAACAATAACAAATTGGAACCATATTTTAATCTTGTGTCTGTTTCAATTGGATGGGAGGTTCAGAAACAAAAGAAAATTTGAAACCCTTCAGAATATATTCAAAGTCAAAATTAAATAAATCTGCATTTCTCCCTTCTAACTTAAATTTTTCCTATCAAATTGCTAAAAAGGAAAGTTAAATAAATACATGAAAATGCGTGTAATTAAAGGAAAAACAATTACCTGAAATGGGAATGAAACTACAAACTAGTTTATTTATTCGGTAGGAATGAAAAACTAAAATGTTCTATATTATAAAGTCTGGATAATGGCCATCTTCTCCTAGTCAATGACACACAGAACATATGTGATCATCTAAGAAAAGACCTAAAAGAATATTCAGATGAACAATTAGGTCTTAGCCAAAGCAATAAATGGGAGCAGCCCCAAATGGATTGACTGCTGAAAACAAGAAATGTATGCTACCCTAAATATGGGTTTATTTTCCTGCAATGTTATGAGGGGGAAAAAAAATTTACTCAATACTTCTTGACCCTATAGCTGTGGTTGTCTTCATTAAAAAAAAAGCAAGCAAGAATCATTTTTCTCCTCCACCTCTGAAAGCAAACATGTTATCAAAGAAGAAAAAAAGTTTGAATTCAATGATCCTTTCTGATGTTCCTAAGAGTCTTTTCCAGCTTATTGAGTCCCCATTTTTTTCTCTTTCAAAGAGGAACCAAACTGTTGGAGAGATGGAGGGGCAGGGTAGAATACCACTGTGAAATTCATTATAAGGACTCAGAAAAACACAACTATTATGGGTCTTCATATATATACATATATATATACACATATATATATATACACACACACATATATATACACACACACACATATATATATACACACATATATATGTATGTGTGTACACATACATATATATATATATGAAGTACATTATCCATAGACATTATCCATCAGCTCACCTCAGAATGGGCTAGAAGTAGAATTCAGTCAAAAATGACCAAAAGGAGAATGGGGGTAGAGGGAGAAAGTTCAAATCCCAGTCCTGCAAAAAGCATTGAATTTCTAGTCTCCACTTCATGTTGTCTCTATACTTTTTCAATTTACCTCAGGAAATAAATGTTCAAACTAAAATGATTAAAGAGGAGATGCTCAGGTAAACATGTGAATAGTTCAACAATATTCACCTGCATGGGATGGGGGGTTTGGGAGTGGGTGGTAAGGGTTTGTGAATCTTAAAACTGCCAAACATTTTTTTAAAGGACTTAACCCCTTATTTTAACACAGAATTACATTCCTAATTTTGGTCAGTGGTAACAGGTCAGGGAGCCCTTCCCACAAGGATCATCTGAAGCTGACTGGTGGCTAAGCTGCTTCTCTCAATCAGTTGACTTTCAGTGATGAGACCAGATCAAAAATGGGTGCTATTGACAAAGATCAGATCTCCTTGTGTCTGTTTAGCAGCTAGCCCACTGTCACTCAAACAATCTGCTTCAATGACAATTGCAGCTGTGTCATTTTGACTTAAGCCATCACTTCTGTGTATTGCAGTTGGGGGGCAACCATTGGGTTCTGTATAGCCATTGATGTGGGTAAGTGACTGCGGTTCTGGAGGGCAGCAGAGATAATCCTTGCAGGCGCTGGAGATGCAGGGTGAGTTGCAGAGGAGCATCCAGTCCTGCTCCAAGGATTCCCTCTGGTCCATATGTTCTGGCTGGATGGTTACATTGTGGATCCCGGCGCTGTGGAAAATCTCTCGTATTTTGAAATCGGCATCTTTGTAATCTTTGCTCTTTTGACACTTGATGTGGAGAGTGGCAATGTTCTTCCCACTTACAAGTTCCCAGACATGCACTTCATGTACGCTGCTAACTCCAGGCACGCTGGATAGCTTGCCCACTAGAAGAGAGAAGAGCAAATACTATACAGATGACTACCAAAATTAAGAATCTGAGAATTTTATAAAGATAGTAAAAAAGAAGTTACTAACCAAGAGTTCTGACCAACAGAACTAAAATACATATGAGGCCCATTTAAATATTCTTATTTATGTCTTGGTTTAAAATCAGCCCTTACGAGGTAAGACAACTCTTACTACAAGTAAAAAAAAAAGTTAATTATGCTTCAAACAAATATCTCCCCCTCTTATTTCCATAATATTTTAAGGTTTACAAAGCACTTTGTTCTTAATAATTCCCAAAGTGCATTGTATAAGCATTATTGTCCCATTATATAGATGAGGAAACTGAAGCTCAGAGAATTAAGTACTTTGCTCTAGATCACACAGACATTAGGCATTGCAGCTGAAATTTGAATCCAAAGCCAGGTCTCTCTCTTCAGCATTCCTTCCACTGTAGCACACTGTATCAAAAATCAACAAGTTAAGTGCCTACTATCTTCTAGCCATCTGTGTTAGGCGCTAAGGATACAAATACAATTAATAAAATCATCGCTACCCACAGGAAGTTTAAATTCCAATAGGGAGACAAGTACATATATAAGCATATATGGAATAAGCATGAAGAGAATAAGGACAAATAAATATAAAGTATTTAAATGGTTGTTGTCCTTCGCTCTTGAAGAGGACCAAAAGGACATCACTATGCTAGAGTCAAATTACAGTGTGTCCAGCTGTGGCTAATCGGACCAACATGAGCTTGGAATGTTCTGCCACGGCTCTGACACAAACAGTCCGTGTGAACATTTGGGGTGGCTTCTCTAAATCTGCTCATCTTACGTTTCTTTTGAGCTATTTCAATTCTGCTTTGCTCATACAGCATAGTACCTTCTCTGATGCGGGCATGCCATGCTGAGCCGTCCTGTGCCAGTGTCTCCATGTCACACATTCAATTTCAAAGTTCTCAAGACACACCTTGAGAGTGTCCTTGTATTGCTTCTTCTGACCACCATGTGAACATTTGCCCTGTGTGACTTCTCCATAAAGTATTTAAATACAAGATGGTTCAAAGGGGTGGACATTACAGAAAGCCTTCACGTAAGGCAATGCTTGGCCTTTGTTCAAGGTGAACTCCTTCTCTGAACTCCCACAGTACGTGATGACACTAACACCAATTTTTGCATGTCATAATATATTGCCTTATGCTGTTATTTAACTGTTTCTCATGTGCCTTCGGTTTTGTCTAACTAGATTGTAAGCTCCTAAAGGCCAGGCCCTTCATTCACTCAAAAAGCATTTATTAAATGCCTGCTATGTGCCAGTCACTCTGCTAGGTGATAGAATTACAACTGCAAAAAAAAAAAAAAAGAAAGAAAGAAAGAAAAAGAAACCGTCCTTGTCTGCATAGGGTTTACACTCTATTGGAGGGAAACAAGTAAGTACACAGAAAATTCAATGCAAACTATGTACAGTATAGATACAAAGTAATCTCTAGGAAGACATCAGCAACTGGGGAGCTCAGGATAGATTTCCCGTAGAAGGTAGCACTAAGCTTTAAAGGAAACCAGAGATTCGGTGTGGTGGAGGTGGGGTAGGAGTACATTTCAGGCATGGGAGACAACCTGTGCAGAGGCATTGTGGATCATTCCCACAACACTAGGGCATGTTGTACCCATGCACAGTACTCAATAAAACTGCTGTATTTGATTGACTGCTTGTCTGTGAAATAAAATAACCACAGGGCTTTTAGACCTTTACAGCTATAGCTCACAATACGAAGGGGGATGAGTATTGGACAGGGTCAAAAGATGTAGGTCCTTGTCCTAGCTTTGTCACTAGCCAGAAGTTTTAAGGCTCAGTTTTTTAATCCCTGATCTGCCTACCCTAGTTATTGTGAAGATAAAATTAAACAAAGCACTGGGAAGAATTCTGAAAGTTATAAAGTTCTATCCAAATGTAAGCTATTATGGTTATTTCAATAATCTTTCTAAAGGGATGACACTGAAAAGTGTCGCTTATTTAAATTCTTGAGGTAAGCCATACAATTTAGTAAAGTGCTATATAGATTACAAAGGCAGTGCCTACATCCAGGGCAAAGGTCTATCATGGAAAGTTAATCAGTCAGTAAAAATGTATTAAGTGTCTACTGTGTTTCAGGCGCTGTGGTAAGAGGAAGGAATACAGATGAAGGTTTCCTCAAGGACCTCATAGCAACATGCAAACATCAGTGTACAAACAAGCCACATGCAGGAAAAAATGGAAATAAGCAACAGAAATCAAGTACTAGAATTAAGAGGGATTAGGAAAAGCTTCTTGTAGAAGGTGGGGTTTTAGCTGAGACTTGAAGGGAACCTAGAAAGCCAGGAGGTGGAGATGAGGACAAAGAGAATTTGAGGCATGGGGGAAAGCCAGTGAAAATGCTCACTTTGGAGATGGAGGGTCCTCATACCTCCCTGTTAGCATCTGAGCTAACCAGAAAGCAGACTAACCTTTATAAGCTCAGAGTCCCATAGTGGGACTCACTGTCCCATTGGCTGGGCTACCAGTCGAATATTATAGTTATTAATACTATCTCCATCTTTCCTATGGGTCATATTTCATTACTTTTTCTTTTTTCTTTTTCTTTCTCCTTTTTTTTTTTTTTGCTTTTTAGTGAGGCAATCAGGGTTAAGTGACCTGCCCAAGGTCACACAGCTAGTGTCAAGTGTCTGTGGCCACATTGAACTCAAGTCCTCCTGACTCCAGGGCCAGTGCTCTATCTACTGCAGCACCTAACTGCCTCTACATTTCATTTCTTAAATATATTTTGTATACACATATGTGCACATGTTGTCTCCCCAATAGAATGTAAGCTGTTTGAGGGAAGAAACTGTTTAATTTGTATTTTTATATCCCTACTGCCTAGCATAGTGCCTGACACATAATAGGAGAATGGGGAAGGAAAGGGAATAAGCCTTTATATAATGCCTACTATGTGTCAGGCACTGTACTAAACATTTTTTACAAATATCTCATTAACAACCCTACTGACAGGCACTATTATTATCCCTATTTTACAATTGAGGAAACTGAGGCAAACAAAAGTTAAGTGACTTGCCCAGGATCACACAGCTAGTACTAGTATCAGAGGCCAGATTTGGACTCAGGTCTTTCTGATTCCAGACCTGACACTTTATCCACTGTGCCACCTACGGCTTGATAATGTTGGTTAGTTGACTAGCTCAACATAGATACTGCGTTGGTCAATGCAGCAATGATAAATCTGCACAAGCCAAGAAAACAGTATACATAATGACTACAACAATGTAAAGCAAAAGAATAACCACAAAACAATCAATAGTGAATGCTGAAAAATCATAAACAAGCCTAGTTCCAAAGAAGATACAAGAAGACATTCCCATCCCACACAAGTGCAAAGGTACAAGGTCCACAACTGGGGTACACCATAGATGTGCAGATTGTTTTAATGTATTGATCAGTTTTGCTTACTTTTTCCTTTCCTTTTTGTTCTTAAAGATATTATTTTTTCATATGGGATAGCTCTCTGGGAGAAAGAAGATGAGAGATACTGGGGAAAATTTTGGTGATATAAAAAAAGATAAAACTAAAAAATTTTATTTAAAGAAACTCTGTACTGTATAGAATATATTCCATTTTCTTATCTTATGGAAGTTATAGTCTGAATAATGGCATAATTACTTTCCCTTGCCAACATCTGGATATTTGCACACAGCCATTTCATTAACATTAAATATATATGTACACATATATATATATGCATATGTATGCTTATATCTTGAACTCAGATTTACACAACCTATACCAAGTCAGAACTTAAACCTATGGGTTAAGTCCTTAACCTAAGGCTAAGCAAATAAATACAGTTCAATCCAAAAAGAGCTCAGGAATGATCTGAATTTTAATCCAGCTATTTTTACGTGCTATAACAGACAGGGTGACTTTGCCATACATGAAAATTCAACTAGCAAGCATGTAGTACCTAGAGCATAAATGCTTTTTTTACTAGGAGCAGCAAAAGAGCAAAGGTTTTGATTTTTAAAAATGGCATGGCAAATTAAAAGAAATCATTTGATCTATCTCGTAAAGGTGAATAGTCCAAGTGTTGACTCTTGGAGTTCTACATTCTCAAAATTCATAGAAATACAGAACAGAAAGGAAGCTTAAATTTTTACATGGGGGTCACACAGCTAGAATGCAAACACACGATTGAGTTTCTACAACCCTAGAGCACTGAGGAGTTCCAAATACATCAGTAAAAAAATTCTCCAGAAATAACATATATATATTACTATTTGTGTCATTAAGATTAAGAAAGTATGGCATAGTGGATAGAGAGCTGCCCTTAGAGTCAGGAAGGCCTGAGTTCATGTTCTATCTCACAATGGCTATATGACCCTCGGCAAGTTATTTAACAATGATAGGATCTAGGCAACTAAGACTATACATTAGTGAAAAGATGCTAACCTGCATGGTATTAGGAACTTTCTCATCTGAGATATCAATGAAATTGTAGGTCCAGCATACGTCTATTTTTATCATTAAAATTACATTTATAAAGGCACCACAGATTAAAACTAAACTCAACTTACCCAATTCTCAAGGGCAGCTAGGTGGCACAGTGGATACAGTGCTGGCCCTGAAGTCAGAAGGACGTGAGTTCAAATCCAGCCTCAGACCAAACACTTGACACATACTAGCTGTGTGACCTTGGGCAAGTCACTTAACTCTGATTGCCTCATAACACCAACAAAAAAAAAACTTACCCAGTTCTTCCAAATTGATGCCTTTGGGAACCATCTGTAGCAAAATGGCTGCTGTCTCCTTGATGAGTGGAAAGGCAGATGACAAAATGATGATGACCATGATAACAGTGAGGCTTGGGTCAATGTAGCACTCCCAGTTACATGGAACATTGTCCTCCAGAGGAAGCACATAGAATATGATAGCAGCAATCACCACAACCACGGATCCCAGTGCATCTCCCATTACATGCAAAAGAACACCTATCAGAAAAAAACATGTGAAAATCACAAAGGTCATTGCAAGCCTATCAAGAATTCTAGATAAGCCCATAAAGATTTTTGTACACATTACTTTGTGAGAAAAGTGTGATGATTCAGAAAGACATGCAAATAAAGTGCCACCATTCTTCAGAGAGTTATCAAGTGAACAAGCTTTTATTCTCTGAGAATACAAAGAAAAGCAAAAATAACTCCTGCCTTCACAGAGCATACAGTCTAATAGGGGAGACAACACGCAAATAATTATGTATAAACAAGCTATATACAGGATAAATTGAAAGCAATCAATGACAATAGAGGAAGGCACCAGAATTAAGGGGGAATCGGGAAAGGTTTCCTGTGGGATTTTAGCTGGAACATGAAGGAAGCCAGAGAAGTCAGAAGGCAGAGAAGAGGAAAGAAAACTCCATGTATGGGGGCCAATTAATGAAAATGCCTGGAGTCAAATGATGGCATGCCTTGCACGAAGAGCAGTAAGGAAGCCAGTGTTAAAGGAAGGAAAGAAATAAAGAAGAAATAACCAAGCAACCAGCCTAGAACTCCAGAAATTTGGAGAAGGGAAGGGTGGTCAGGAAGGAGGCTAGCTAGCTGATAAACCCAGAGGAAGCATGAAATCTCTATATCATCACGCCATCCTGTCTTCTCAAACCACTTTGTGTAGGATCCATTATAAGTAACCTAAGTAGACAAGTGATAGGATCTTTATGATTATTATCATGAAGATGTGTATTTTAGATTGGCCTTAAACTTTTTTTAGAAGAAGGGTAATGAGGATACTCTTACTAGCTGTGTGACCCTGGGCAAGTCACTTAAGTCTGTTTGCCTCAGTTTCCTCACCTGTAAAATGAGCTGGAGAAGGGAATGACAAATCACTTCAGTATCTTTGCAAAGAAAACTCCAAATGAAGTCACAAAGAGTTGGGCACAACTGAAAACAACTAAATAACAATGGGGGGTAATGTAAAAAGGGAAGAGGTTATTTTCATTCCCCTTTTCTCCAACCAAGCTTCATTTTTCCCTTCCATGTATGCATCTGCCTACAATTTATCCAGATAATTATATTCGAAAACATGTAGATTAAAATATCCTCAAAAGCAAGGATCCCACCATAGCTTTGTGCTTAACATAAGGCAAGCTATTTGTTGTTCAATAAATGAAGAGGTACTGAAGTTAACAGTAATACTTTTAAGTGCCCTTTAAGGAAGGGAATACTAGGCACAGGAAGACATGTACACTAGATTTTAGGAAAACAGACTTCAAAAAGTATAAAGAAAATATGTTTATACTGATCTTGTAGCAAAATTCTCTTTTTCCTTGTCTTTTCCCTCCCCTCTCTATTTTTGCTCTCTCTCTCTCTCTCTCTCTCTCTCTCTCTCTCTCTCTCTCTCTCTCTCTCTCTCTCTCTCTGTATCACACGCACGCACACATGCACGCACATGCGTGCGCATTTCTCCCCCCCCATCTCCTTTTTAGGGCATTATCAGTGATCCTGGTAAAAGAGACACTTTACAGAAAAGAACACATTATTGACCTCATTGGAAGTCTCTGAGCAAGGAAACAGGATGGCCATTTATCAGTTATGATATAGATGGGATGCTTGTTCAGATAAGGATTAGTCTTGATCAGAGGTGGGGAATCTTTGGCTTTGAGGCCATATGTGGCCCTCTAGGTCCTTGGGCGCAGCCTTTTGACTGAGTCCAAGTTTTCCAGAACAAATCCTTTTATTAAGGGGATTTGTTCTGTGACGTTTGGATTCAATCAAAGGGCCACACTTGAGGACCTAGAGGGCCACATGTAGCCTTGAGGCTGCAGGTTCCTCACCCCTGGTCTAGATGGCCTCTGAAGTCCCATCCAATCCCCAGGTTTTATAATTATAGAAACATTTGCTAAAGGCATAAATTATGCTACACAAAACCAACAGCTTTATGCAAAGAAGGGCAAAAACCTATTTGTTCAAAAGAGACAAAAATGTGAATCACTGGGTGTTCATTGGGTGAAAACTTTTCAGAAAGATAGCAGATGGTTATCTCTGTGTGTTTTGTGTAAGAAACAATAATACCTCTAAATGAACAGTGAGCCTAAAGTCAAGCATGAATTAAATGTCTCTGCTACTAGAAGGTAGAAAAAGCCCTAGATCTAGAATCAGAATACTTTGGTTCAAACTCTTATTTTTCTATTTACTATCTTTGTATTCTTGGGAAAAGTCACTTAATTAGCCCCAGTTACTTCACCTGTAAAGTAGGGGGGCTGGATCTGACGACCTCCTAGGTCCCTTCCAGCCCTAAATCTCTTATCTGAGTCCATATTTGTCGGTCTCCTACAGTTCACATTGTAGAATTATAAATGATCCAACTGTTTGGTTATTAAAACTTTCTCATAATTGATCTCACTTTCCCACTTTCCTGGTGCTTTATTGATGCAAATAATAAATTATTTCTTATGGGCAGCAAATCCAGAATCTTCCCAACATTCGGGTAAGGTCAGGTGCAAACACACAAAAGTAGCTTTCTGTTGTACTACATGGAGATGATTGATAAGCTCTCTCTACAACTTCAAGAGTAAAAATAACCCCAGCTCTTTCTTGGGGGATGAGGGCAAAGGCTTAAATACACTGACATCAGGAGGTAACATACTCAAAATTCAGAAGAATACTCTCACCTTTTTAGTACTGACTTATTTTTGCTTCTGAAAGAGCTTGGTAGCTTACCAGTCCCTAAATCAAGTCCAAAAAGATAGCATCCAGAATATCTCAACTCAAAAATCATCCACAATATCTCACAACATCAAAAAAAAAAAAAAACCAACCCTAGGGGCAGCTAGGTGATGCAGTGGATAGAGTACCGGCCCTAAAATCAGGAGTACCTGAGTTCAAATTCGGCCTCAGACCATACACTTGTCACTTACTAGCTGTGTGACCCTGGGCAAGTCACTTTACTCCAATTACCTAAAAAAAAAAACTGAAGACCTACTCTTTGATGCTCCCTCCATAAGACAAGCCAAAGTAATTCCATAAGTTCCACTTGTAATAAATATACATAGCCAAGCAAAAAGGAGAGAAAAATTAATTTTTCAAAATAAGTGTGTATGGGTGGAAGGTTGGGGAGGGGGCTAGAATACTACAGATGTAAAATATTGCCTGCTCTTGCAGATAAGGTCACTGTAATATTAGCTTCATTTAACTATTTAATTTTGTTTCAAGAAAACTATTTCAAAGTGGGAGCAATCTGTAAATGTAATATTTTTAAAAAATCAAAAAAACTTTTATTTAAAAAAAAACATACACTTTGTGCTGAATCACCATCTCCTTGTATTCATTTGACACCCTTCATGCTACCTTTTTTTTTTTTTTTGGTGAGGCAATTAGGGTTAAGTGACTTGCCCAGAGTCACACAGCTAGTGTTATGTGTCTGAGGCTGGATTTGAACTCAGGTCATCCTGATCCCAGAGCTGGTGCTCTATCCCCTATCTGCACCCCGCTTCATGCTATTTTAACCATTTTTGTATTTTTTTCCTAAGTGTTTCCTAAATGTTGGCATTCTTCTTTCGATTAGATCGCAAGCCACTTGAGAGCAGGGACAATATCTTGTAATTATTTTATCTTTCTAATCACAGTGCTCATCACAGTGTTAAACATGTAGATGTCCAATAAATATTTTTTGTTTGATTTGTATCAAAACCCCTCCGATGTGAACTACTCTTGTCTCTGCATCATAAGGATAGAGATCAAATGTGAAATCCAAAGATTCAAGTCCAAACCTTAGCTCTGACACTTACTACCTGTGTGACCTTTGGCATGTCAATTAATCTCTCTCAGCCTCATTTTCCTTATCAGGAAAATGAGGTGGTTGGACTATATGATCTTAAAAGTCCTTTCTATCTCTACAACCTATAAAAGTTCCATATTCAGGCTTTATGTAAAACTACTGAGATATCCCTCCATTTCCCCTAAGAATCATTCAGGGCATAGAGCCTTAGAGCTCAAGAGGATCTTCAAATCATAGAATTTCAGAGATGGAAGGGACCTCAGAGGCCATGAAGTCCAACCTATACCCAGTAAAGAGTCCCTTCGCAACATGCCTGACAGGAAATTGGCCATTCCAAACTCTTATTTTTACAAATAAGGAAACTGAGGTTGAGGGAAAGAATGTGATTTTCAAAGGGTCACAGAATTTTAGACTAGTAAGGGGCTTTCACAGCCACCTAGTCCAACCCACACCTGAAGAAGAACCCCCACTACAAGACACCCCAACAAATGGTCCTCCGGCCTCCTCTTTAACACTTCCTATGGGGAGAAATCTACTACCACTAAGGCCGAGTCCATTTACAGTTACCTATCTTTTATTGACTTAAAACCTAAATTTGACTCTCTGTAACTTCTTCCTCCGACTGCTTTTTTTCCAACCATTTAATTTTTTAAACTAAACTCACCAAGCCCTTCCTATGTCTGAAATACTACTATGCTGTACTGTTTGACCCATATACAGCTGGGAGGTTTTATGTCTATAGCAACAAAGTGAAGGACAACTTGTTTTATAGAGGGCTAGTTGTTAGAGTTCAAAACAAGTTCACCATTTGGAAGATGACTTAAGTCACACGGTTAGTCACAATGCTGCTAAATATTCCAAAGACAGAATCTCCAGAATTCTTTTTATTATTCTCATTGCTAGCAATGAAAAAAAAAAAAAGGAAACCATATAAACACGAATCATGAATTAGCATCAAGTAACACTCCTGGACTTTGAAATCATCTCTGCTCTGATTAGTTTATCTAGAACTTGGGAGAGTCATACATATTATTGAATTTGTTGATAAATTAGAAGAGCCTTTTAAGTTAGCATGTCATATCTACCACTTTGTGGATTTTTATGAAGTTAAGAAGTACTTTGGAGCTAAAATAAAACAAGGAGGAAAAGACACATTAAGAAGAAGTGTAAGTGATTTTCCAAAAGACTTGAAACATGTTTAAGTTCCATCTGGTTACAG